CGGGGGGAGGGGGAGGAGGTCCGCGACCGACGGGATTGCCCCCCGCCCTGGCCACGCGAGCCTCGCGGGCCTGCCGCAGAGGGCCGTCGACGCCTGCCGCCGAGGCTCCCGACGTCTGCAGCAGCCCCCAGCCCATTGCTCCCGGGCCTCCGAGGCGGGTGGCCGACCGCGAAGTCCCAGACCATCACCTTGCCCTGCGTGCCGTCGTTCACCAGATATCGCTCGTTGAAGTCCACCGCCCCCACCAGGTCGCCGTCCACATGCGCACGGACCGTGAAGCGAGGGGAGGACTTGGCTGCGTCCCAGACGATAACAGAACCGTCCTCCGAGGCGCTCACCACCTTCTCCTCGTCGCACGCCACCGCCACCACGGGCCCCCGGTGGCCCGTCAGGACAAAGCCCTGGTCCACCTCGCGCGTGTCCGGGTCCACGTGGGTGTTGCACACCAGCACCAGCCGGTCGTCGAAGGCGCGGTCCTGGGGCACGCGCCACACCCCCTCCGAGGACATGACTGCCCGCACTTGGAACTGGCGCAGGGCCCCGTCCTGGCCGCCCACCACCACGCGGATGTGGTTCCCTGCCAGGGGGTACGCGCACAGCGAGCGCACCGGCGTCCGTTGCGCGATGTAGCGGAAGGCGGAGCGGCCGCCGTTACGGATGGAGAAGGCCTCCACGGGCCCGCCCAGGAGCCCGGCAAATACGTAGTTCTTGCAGACGGTGACGGCCAGCAGCGTGTCCGATGCCCACATTTCCTGCACCAAGGCGCCCCCGTCCAGCTCGAACACGACGATCTTGCCGTCCATCGAAGCGCTCAGGCCCCACCGATGGTCCAGGACCTCCGCCGCCACCACCCGGCTGCTGTGGTGGCGCATTCCTGGCCCCCCAGATTCCACGCGCCCCCCCCCTGCCCCTCCTACTTCACGCTCCTGCTCCCGGAAGACCTTGACCACGCCGTCGTCCGCCGCCGACACCATCCACCCCGTGCCCGCGTCGTAGTCGAGCGCCGTTACCAGCGCCGCGTGCGCCTGCGCGCGGAAAAGCTCCCGGCCGTCCGAGGCTGAGGCCAGCCCCACCGCCCCCGCGTCGGAGCCATACATGACGCGGTCCTCTGAGAGCTTCACCTGCTGCACCTTCCGGTTGCCAGGCACGTGGCCCACAGGCCGACAGAAAGCCGGCTCCTCGCGCCAGTTCATGGCGCAGCCCTCCGCCATCACCACCTGACGCCGCAGCTCCTCCTGCAAGGCCACCTCCCGCGCTGTCTTCGCCTGCTCCGACGCCGCCCCGGGGGGCACCTGCGGGAATGGCACCGAGGACGGCTGGAAGGGTTGAGCAGGCGCCCAAGGCGTGGATACCACCAGCCCCTGCACCTCTGCGGCCCCCCCGCTGCCCAGCCCCGTGAGGTCGTGCACCTCCTGGCCCAGCTTCTCCATCTCCCGCAAATAGTGGATGCGGGGCGTATCCATGCACCAGTCGTCCTCGCCCGGCGCTTGCGTGGCCCATACGTTTTCCCGGCCCATCTCGTTCCCACCTCCGGCCCCGCTACTGCCCGCACTGTCCCACTCTTCGCCTCCCCTCCCCGCCGCCACCCAGCAAGCTCGCCGGGGGGCCACAGACCACGGTCTCCACCCTACCCATGCCCACTCCACTGGAGCTGCTGACGGCTGCTGCGACACCTTGTGCGAGGACAAAGATGTGCCACCGAACACAAAAGTTTCGACGCCCCCAGCGAAGAAGAGGAAAGCTGCGACGCGCAGGGCGACACCAGGCGGGGCGCCCCCTCTGCCTATTAGGCTTCTGTTCTGAAAAAGGAGCCAATGCATTGTTTTCACTTCTGCGCAAGAGCTGCTGTGCCTAGGCTGTCCGACAATCCAGCCTGAATCGATGTGGAGCGAGTCGACAGCCTGTGTGATGGAGTGCGGGATTATGGTTTAGTGAGCCTGACGCACGCCCGGCCATATTTCCGCAACACATATATAAGTTCGTTATATCTTACAAACTTTGTACCACAACAGCCCATGAGCAGCGAGAAGTACATAAGAGATAGGCACCGTGCATATTGCGTACCAAATGCTTGCGTAAAATGGTAGGGTTCTGTCAGGTCTCAGGAACACAAAAAGTACCTCGAGGAAACATTCCACACTGCGCACATCACCTGCCTGCTCCACTCTCCAACGTGATGCCCCCACATTCACATTCCCCGCAATCTGTTCATTTTCACCATCTCTTCAGAGTTGGACACGACACATCCCTGAGGCGGTGGCCGCCCCGCCCCGCGAACATGGTTCGGTGGTCGCTGAAGAAAAGCCCGCCAAGGACGTGACATGACCCGGAATGGGCTGTCTCGACACGCTGCAGCTTGGCGGGGCCACGAAAAAGCATCCGCAGGCACGAAACGCGGGATGTACGCTTTTCACAGGGATTTTCCGTCCTGGTTCGCGTCTTGGATCGTCTTATTCGCGAGTTCCTGTTCCAAACGCTCCGCCTCGAAGATGGCTGTCAAAACCTCCCTCATTCACAGCAAATGAGGCAGTAATGATTTTCTTCTTCTCAGTTACAAGAAAACGAAAATAACATACAAATAGACGCATTTTAGTTGATCTTTCCATTTAAGTTACGCTTATTGTCTCGCGCTACCTCTTAAACTTCAGGCTTGACGCTTTGTCTGGTGAACGCTGGAACACAAGGCGTGCGCCATCGATGTTTTCTCTTCGTCTCCTGACATTCCTTGTGGACGACGTGCTTTATGATTTGATCATTATATTTGTCGCGGGTACCTTTACAGAAAAAAGGACAAGGAATTTCGTGTCACATTCTTTGGTTGTATTTGAAGATTTTGCCAACCTTGCTACCTACCTTATACTTTTCCTCAAGCATTATCGCCAGGCTGTCAATGACGTCGCCCTGAATTACAATTTCCTTCCCTCCGCTGCCGGTATCCGAAACAGATGCTCCGGACGCAAAGGCCTTTCCCAACGCCTTGGCCACGTCCTTGAGCTTCAAATCTGGGTAAAAAGTAAGTGCGGTTTATGAGGACGAAGGGTGACAGGCAGCACACACAGCACATCTGAAATGCACTCACAATCATATCACGAGCGGCCGTACAGTCAAGGGAGCTTCACTGAGAGAGAAATCGGTTTCCAGAATTCCACGAGTCTTCACCTGGATAGGAATCGAGGCCTGTGACCACTGTGATTGACTTGCGCTTATTCCGAGACATGCGCATGATGAGGACCTTGCCCCCTGATGTCGTCTCCTTCTTCTTAATCCCTTTAGGCCCTCCTTTCTTCTTTTTGCCGCATTCTGTTGAAAAGAAAGGAATAAATTTGTCGTCAGAAGTCAGGGCAACCCACACATCGTCCCCCTATGTTTCATAGAGATGCGTCTCTGCCATCTCACCGTCTTCTTCTCTTCCGTTTCCGTCATCCTGTGTGACGAAAATGAATAGATTGGAAATGAGCTGCAAAACAATCTTGCTTTCTTTTCAATCTCACCTCTTCACCCTCGCCTGTGCTCTCTCCTTCGCCTGCTGCTGCATTGACACCTGCTCGACCATCACCACTGCTGTTAATTTTCCCTCCACTTCCGGAATTGTGCAGATTAAGCTTTGCCAGCATGTCGTCGACCGATGCACCCTACAGAGTGAACATAGAGAAGAGTAGTCTAGTTCTATGAGAAAAACGTCTCAATTGGGCAACCAGGCATTCTTGTATAGCCTTAATTTGTCGCATATAATTACCTCAGGTAAAAGCTCCGTGTGGCACTTCGCTTGCCATCTCAGGCAATCGGCGTACAAATCAGGGGGGTTAAAGATGCAATACTCTGGCGGAATACTGCAAACTGCGAAAGAGAAAATGGCGTAAGGAACATACACAAGCATTAATTATGCTTCAACATCCCGACAATTGCCACCTACCGCCGCAGTATAATATGTCTGTTCGTTTCTCGAGAGGAGGGAGTTCCTCCTCGTCCTCCTCGTTGCTTTCCACCTCGTCTTTGGCTTCTTCCCCGACCACTGCAGACAATTGCTCTACAGCTTTATCTACGTTCATAGTAAAAAATCCTCGCAACCTGTTGTTTATTACATATTTATCGTGTACCGCACCAAAGATTAGACAGAAGATAACACACCGGCCTCCTATCCCTCCAGGCCCTACCACAACCTCCCCGTCCCCCCCCTTGCAGCGACTCGTTGGAAATTTCCGAAATAACAGGCAAAGAAACGCATCAAACCAATAAATGATTCCCGGACTCGTGAAATTTACCGAGAATGTCATGATCACGCGTTGCTTCTACTTTCTGCACATTGAATACTATCCTGCCATTCACCTTTACGATCCTAAGCCTCCTCCATCCTATCTCCTTCCTCTTCCTTCAGAGGATCTTCGACGTAGCTCTCGCTGGCTTTCCTATTCATATCAACAGGAATCATAATGTCAAACGACCCTGTGCCATTCCCCGTAGGCTGGCCCATGACCAACTTCGCCGATGGAGTTTGCAAATCATCTTTCTCAGAGTTGAGCGCGGCCTCTGTGAGGAAGGTGGCAGTAGTCTCGAAGCTCATTTGCAAAAATGGCGATGAGACCTCGGACATACCAATACGGTTCAAAGCGCGGAAGCCACCTTGATAAGTCATGAAGTCTGCAACCAAACCCAAGTGTCGAGGGTCCACAGCGATACCGTAAGCCCCAAAAACACCTTTTATCTCCTTCACAATTGTGGCCCGAGCCGCCTCCACGCCGTACGTCTGATGCATGGCCCAAATGTCATTGCTAGTTATGTTGTTTAGATCCAGTGCTGCGTCACCGACCTCCCACAACTCGGACAGATTGCATCCCTCTGTCTGGATACTGCATCGCCCGTCTTTTCCCTCCACTACAAAAGCTTGCGCAATACCTTTAGAGACACGCACCGTGCATCGCTCAGCTGCTGCCTCAACTATACTGACCATTAATAACCGGCGGTGAGAGGCACGGGTCTTGAGTGTGATATGGGCCACACCGGTTTCACGTTCAAAGCGTAAGTTCTCGAAGAAAGGATGATCAATCTTGGCGACAGCGGCGACATCGTCAAACCTGCTGCCATTTCGCCGTTGCTTTGCGGGCACTTCAGATAGTTGCCCTTCGCCTGAATTCTCAACCCCCTCTTCGATCCCTGAAGCATCGTCCCCGATATCCTCGCTCGGGTCCTCCTCCTCGTCCGGCTCGTACTCGCCACGCTCCTCCTTTCGTCCGAAGCTCAGAGTGCCCTGAGCCTCGTCGCCGTCCTCCTCTTCCTCTCTTTCTTCGTCTTCTTCCCCATCGACATCCATTGCAGCAAGCTTGGGGCTTGTCTTTGCGCCTGCCCTGGCTGCCGCCTTCATCCCCGGGCCCCTCCCGCCAACGAGGCCTGTCATGTCCGCTTCGTCTTCGCTCGCCTCTCCCGACTCTCGAGCCTCCGCGTCTGCTGCATTCCCACGACGCTCCTTGAGGAGTCTCACGACATCTCGGCTGGCAACCTTCCGCAGTTCCGCCGTGACAGAGGCCAGCAGCTGCCTCACAAAGCGCGTGGCAATCACCTCAAACATCTCCTCGTGGCTCAACCCAAACGCCTCCTGAAGCACCTCCTCGTCGTGCAGCCGGAGGGACACCGTGTAGTAGCGTTGCCAGGTCACCCCACTACTGGCACACCTCCCTAGCCGCTCTTTGACCAGGACACCGCCCTGTGTGTGGTGGACAACCTCGAGCAGCTGCAGGCGCCGCAGGCGGGCTGAGAGGCGCTGAGCCTCGGAGCGTGAGATCGAAGTACAGAGCGGGACGGTCATAGAGGGGGTCTTCGGGTTCCGACTGGCGGTCATAATGATTTCGCGGAGCCGGGGAATGCCCAATGTGACGTTTGCGCCACCGTGCCCGGCCAAGTGGAAGGTGTTCAGAGTCATTTGGGTGGAAGGCTCTCCGATCGACTGTCCCGCGATGGAGCCCACCGCCTCCCCCGGAGACGTCAAGCTGCGCATGTACTTGAGCCAAAGTAACAACTCTAGACCAGCCTTGCTCTTTGAGCCCCCCATCTCTGATTTTTGGAAAAGGTGCTCGGGATCGCGGCCTAGGTAGTCCTCAATCGCATCTTGAAACCGTTCGCTGATAGCTCCCAAATGGAGACCCAACTGCGTCTTGGCTCGTCCCAGCACCGGGTCAGGAAGATAGGGCCACCGGATTAAATCCACTTGCGAAGCGGATGAGGAGGGAGGAGGGGGGGGAATGTCGAGAGCGGAGGCGGCTGGGCGAGAGGGCTCCACGACAGTGTGTCGAATGCGCCGGGGGACCCGCTTGGCCACCTTACCATCCGAAATATACCTTAGGTCGTAAGTGGCAGGACGACTCGCCCCCTTGGCACCGTGCACCTTCACCACCTCGGCGGGCTCCCAACCAGGCAGCCAGGCCCCCGTGATCCACTCTGTCCTCGTTCGCTTCAGACGTTTGGTCAACACCATGTTGCCTACCTTCAATTGTGCAGGCCTCACGGCACTTAAACTTTTCTGCTCTCTTTTCTGTGCCTGCTCTTTGATTTGCAATCGCGCTGCCTTGATTTCTTCATGCATAGCGCGGGCTGTCTTTAAATCCATACCGGTGCGTTCCAAGAACTTCAGGTCTACTTTGTACTGGCATAACAAAGCCGCAAAGTTTCTGGCCAAAGCGGTCATTTGCGGGGCTTGTCCATCCAGGTACTTGCCGTGCAAGGGGTCTACGCCATCCTCCCCATAAAGAAATTGCACAACGCCCGCGTCCGCGTCCCTTACAGTGTTATCGTAATGCACGCGCAGCTCCTCCAGGCCCTTCACAAGGCAGCGCTGGAGGTATCCAGAGCGGCTAGTCTTGACCGCGGTGTCAATTAGACCCTCCCGCCCTGCCATACAGTGGAAATAGTACTCTTGCGGTCGGACGCCCGTCAGAAACCTGTCCACGATAAATCCGCCTGCCCGTGGGCTCGGATCGTAAGGAGGGAAGGAGGGGAGGGATTTACCACTTGGCATCAAGGGCACGCGCCGACCCTCTAGTTCCTGCTGACCAAGGCCGCAAGAGATTTGGCTCTGGTTCACCGTGCTTCCCTTGGCACCCGTGGAAACCATCAGAGAAAATGCGTTATGAGGGAAAGGCTTCGTCAGCCCATCCGGAAGACAGGCCTTTATAATATCGCTTGAAACCGGGGATAAGACTGTTCGCATGAAATTGTCAATGGCCGCTGCCTGAGTGACCTGTCCCGTGCGCATATCTTCCTCCAACAACTCAGCAGTGCGGGCTTGTACTCTGGCCAGGTCGGCTGCGCTCAGGCCATCCGCCGAGGCCCCATCCTTCTCAGCTTGGCCGGAGGCGGAGGGAAGCGGCGGCAAGGGCGGAGGCTCAAATGCCGTACCAGAGGTGTAGCAATACATGGCTAAACCCCCTAAGCGACCAGCACGGGTGATTAGTGCGCGACGTCGTTGCTCCGCCGCTCGGCTCAAAACCAAGTCCTCCACACCGCACGTGTGGCCGGCGAATTGCAAGTAGACTGTGAAAAGGCGCCCTAATGCTGTAAGCAGCCGCCCGGCAAAACGAGGACCGTAGAACTCGTAGACACCGTGCACAAGACCACCCTCGGAGGCCCCAAAAGCCGCTTTGTCTAGTACTCCGCGGATCAAGTCTCCGCCACGCACTACTACCTCGTGCTCCTCCTGATCGACGCCGAAAGCTACGGCGGGCGTTTTGGCCTTAAAGTCCAGGTTAAGTGGAGGAAGACCCTCACTTAAGTGCTGCAGTAGGACCGAGATCATTTGCTTGCCAGTCCATAGTTCTTGGGGCTTCCAAATCGCGGGGGCAGGCATGTAGATATGACCGTATGGGGGAACGACTTCCACGCCTGGCAACCCGGAAAGTGTACAGAAAAGAATATGCTGAAAATCCGCCCGTGACAGAAAACAGTCCTTCCCAGTGAGCTTGACTCCACTTCCCACATGGTCCTGGATCAGACCCCGGAGAGGCTTGCCGTTGGTGGGCGCAAGGTATTGCTCGTCCGTGCAGGCAATCGTCTCCGCCTCGGCACGGGAGAGTTCGTCTTGAGGAAAATGACAATTCATTTCGTCGCCATCGAAGTCCGCATTGTACGTGTTACAATTTGCATAGTGCATCCGAATGGTCTGCTGGGCGGGGCTTCGGAGGACACGGGCGCGGTGGGCCATGATACCAGGCTTGTGCAATGTCGGCTGGTTTTGGTGCGGAAAGGGGCATAGGGGGCACTACTAGATTAGACCACGGTATACTAGTCAATAACACGACGTAGAATGCTATCGTTGGTCAGGCAGTTGGGCAAGAGTCGATGAAATCCGTCCCTCATTGTGGAATTTGGTGTTGATTCGATTCCCCATGATTGATAGGTAAGACTGGAGTGATTGTGATAGATGCTTTAATCACGGGGACCGATTCATGACGCCTGTGGGTGCAAACCAAAGTATCCCTGACTTTTCCACCTAGGACGAGGCGTCTGCCCACAGGCAATCCCCGCCAAGCCCTTAACGTACCTGGCGGTTCATCAGGACCATATCTCCGTCTTGGAGATGTCTCCACACCGTCTGTCCGGGCGGGGTCAGGAGGCGGGCCGCCAGTGCCCGGCGTCTGCCCGCATCCATGCGCCGCAGGTCGATCAGTCGGCCCCTCGCGTCCTCCACATAATTGGCACCCGGATGACCCTCTGCGCCCCTCTCCACCGCCTCTCGGAGCTGCGCCGCGTTAAATGGCGTGACGGGCTGCGAGTAGGTCAAAACCTTGGCAAAGCGGAGTGGGAGGCCAATCTCCGAAGTGCCGATGTAAGGGTCGGGGGATATGACGGACCGACAAGCGAAATTGACGCGCTTGCCCATCATATGCATGCGGAAGAGCCCCTCCTTCTTCTCCAGCCCCTGCCGGATCCCAGGGGTCAGGTTGCCCCCCCCCAGCCGGGCGTTCGCGTCCTTGCTCGAGTCGATGTACCCGTTCACGGCATTCTGTAGGTCAATCCAAGTGGAAAGAACGCGTGATAGCGCCTCGGCGGGGAGATTCTCGGGCCCTGTCGCCCCCTCGCCCCCGTCCTCCTTTCGCAGCAAGGCGCGTATCCGCTCGTCCAGGTTCATTATCTTGATGACATTGTAGTTCTGCGGGTGCTCCGCCAGGCTACCGTCATCGTTTTTGCTAGGCGGTCGGAAGCGTGAGGGCGTGACGGGTAGCACGCGCCAGAAGAGGGTCTTCCATCCATCAGCCCTCCCGGTGTCCGCCCCCGGCGCCGAAAAGACAGACTTTTCCACCGCAGCTTTGCCCCATATCAGCGTGGCTAGCTCCGGCTCGGCTTCCCATAGAAGCTTCATATGCATCTGTACCTCTGCGGGTGCCATGTATTCGCCGCCCTCCGCCTCCGTGTCTCCCCCCCGCGCGGCAAATCTCTCCTGGGACGCCGCGTCTTCCTCCCCGCCGCCCTCCTCGCTCTCCTCTCCATCACTATCATCCCCAAACCCATTTCCACACTCGACCTCATGTCTCCCATTCCGTACAACAGCAAGAGCAGAGGGAATGTGTGCTCCCGCGCCACGACTATGCCCGGCGCGTCGGCCTCTCACGAAAAACTTCGTATACCCGTCTTTTCTAACCGTGGTTTTGGGCGCACTACACCTGTCACAAGTCTTGCAGCTTAAAACTTCTTGCAGAAAATCTTTGATCAAGGCGCGTCGTTTTATTTTCGTTTCTCCTGGTATCCAGCTTTTGGGCACTTGACCAGCTGTTTGAAGGTGTCGACGCAGACGCATTTCGGTATCGCGAAGAATCGTGCTGCGATGTAGATCCGCCCGAAAAAGTGCCTGGTCCAAGCTATCAGCCTCGTGCGCTAGCCCGGCATCAATCAAACCCAATTTCAGCGCTAGAACATTACACGGAAATGTGGATAAACGGAAGCCGTGGCATCCAAAACACTTGACCCTAAGTGCCTGAAAAACTATCCCAAACGTCAAGGGATTGTAGACGTGAAGGGAAAGGGGAAAATGACCCATATGTCCGGGACAGTCGCGCATGGACAAGTTGCACGTGACACAAATAGAGCGTGCGTCCAGCGGTCCCATGGCGGGGTCGTATAATCCACCGGGTAGGGGATTGCCTAGTCGATCGTACGTTGCTGCTGTGCTCACCCGAACGACACTCAGCCGCAAAATCTCTTCCTCTTTGTACACCCCAAACTGTACTTCTGATACATCGTGCCGGACGACGCAGCGCTCCGTCATGGTGATCGAAAAACGCCTGTGGGTTTCAATGACGCAAAAAGCTAAAAATTAGGTGACGGTGAACATCGATTGGATATGCGCCCGACTTCGGGGATGGGGAGGTGGAGAGGAAACGACGCGACGTCCTTGCAGCTAAAGGACCGAATAGTGGCACGAGCCTTTGATGTTCACAAAGTTCTTTCAATAGCTTATCGTGCCCCTGCACTGTAAATTTTCCCTGCTTCCTCCCCGTGAGATTGTCCCATGTATTTCGGGAAGCTGAAGGACAGAGCATCAGGCTGGCGAGATGCGCGTCTCCCACTCGTACGTCCCGCTGGCAAGTGAAGTATAATGGCTTCAAAATTTGAAACATTATAAGCGCTTTACATCGACCAGGGCCCTCAACTCGGGAACAAATAAGCTCTTAAGAGTAATGGGAGGAAGGCGCTGAGGATCAACTCGGTCATCTTAAAAAGAAACAGCATAGAACTTCGAGCAAAGCAATGACGTGCGACCATCCGCGAATGAACAAGAGCGAGCCCAGACGGCGCTTTGATTTCTGTTTTGATGGCCCTAACACACGGCCGATAGCTTCAACACCACATCATTTGCTCGACAGCACTCACTCCAAGGTCAATACCGATTGTAAAAAAAAAAGGGGTCCGGGACTGAAGACCGCGGTGAGAGGGTGAGGTAGTGGGTCCCCTCCTCCTCGGGCTAGTGGAGGGGTGGTCGCTCTGTTACTGGGTAGAGGCTGCCGCTCTTTAGGCGAAGCTTTTCGCCCACTCAAAGGTCTGCTCGAGGATGGGCTTGTCGGAGATGGATGCTTGCACAACAAATGCCAAAAAGGCGATCATGGCCAAGCGCCCGTGCTTCAGCTCCGCCACCTGCCAGTTCTCGCGCAGGCCATCCGCAGAGAGGCGAAGAGGGTCAAAGCCAATGTCGCCGGGTACGCGGCCTTCGAACTTGCTGGTCGTTACGTCATAGGCGCCCAGGAAGACGAAGAGCTGGAGCAGACCGAGGGCGGGGGCGGTCTTGAGGGCCTCCAGGAAGTTCTTGGAGGGAAAGTTTTCGTTCCACTGGTAAAGTTCTTGCACGAGCACACCAACTACCGCAAGCATGGCCACACGTCCTAATACCAGTCATGGGCGGGGAGGGGGGAGGAAGAGGCAAGCAGGGTATAAGAGGAGCGTGCCGGCAGGGGGCATAGGAAGCGGGCACAACACACTCACAAGCACATGCACAGATGCCAGCGCACGAGACAGCTTTCGAGGCATTTGATTCCCCACACGACATCTCTCAAGTACACTCTACAACTAAGGTCTGCTCATGATAGCACGCGATGACGGCGCGCGGTTTTCTTCCCGTACCAAACCTACCATGCTTCAGCTCAGCCACGCGGAATTTGGCCACATCACCCTTGTCAGAGAACTTGAAAGGATCAAAGCCTACATCCCCAGCAAGCTCGCCATTCAAGTTCTGCGGCTTGGCAGCGAACGGCAAGGCGATGGACCGCACTTCCTCATCCACAGGAGCCTGGTCGGCCATGTACATCTGTTTATCGAATACAGTCAGAAGGAACGAGAAGCATAGCCATTAGCAAGCATTGCTATCCGTGCAGTGAGAGAAGAGCGTGAGACTGTTCGAAGGCTTGCTTGGGTGCAGAGCGTCCTTCTGGGGTAAAGGTCTATATTCCACTCCGCCGGTCCCATCCAAGTTAGAGGAAAGGCTCTTCCGCGGTCCACGCCTTGCACAAGATGGTAAGCATGTGACAGAAAAGAAATATCGAAATTATGACTTACGCGGCCCTGGGTACGGGTGTGCATCGGAACAGGAGCCAGGAAGGCAGAGGCAGTGCTCACGATGGTGGCGAGGGCCAAGAACTTCATGATTTAGCGGAGAGAAGGGGGTGTTTGGACCTGTCGTGGTTTATTGATTATGCATCAAAGAAATGAGTTTAGAGTAAGAGCTGAGATAATTCGAAAAGTGAAAGCGCATCCGTGAGGCGGTGCAGCGGTGATCCAAGGGGTCGATACCAAACAACTCAAAGCATGTGCCAAGTCCCCATACTTAAAACTTGCCCGACTCGCTTGATAATGCTGTGCTGGTCTCTGTGGATAGTAACCCCTATCCTTTCATGAAGACATGGATCTCGAGTTGCGCCCAACCCGTGGGTGAAATACAAGACGTACTCTGCAAGCGAAGCTTGAGGACTATAGATTTGCTGTTCATCTGGGGAGGGGCGACGAGTGCACGCAGAAAGTGCCAGCGCCCATCAGAGAACTCCCAAAATCCGTGCATGGCAAAGTCCGTCCTAGTGCTTTTATAAACATCGTCTCTATTTAATATTCATCGCATTCCCCAGGACGACGAGAGCAGGCATGGCAGTGAGCGCGAGGTTCCGATCGCGGTGCGGGCTGGCCGTGGCGTTGTTGACGTGCGGATCTTTCTTGACGTCAGCCTTCCCGGGCAGCCAACCTCCCACCCTGCCCGCCCGCCCTCTTGCTGGCAGACGGCCAACGTTTCTGTCACCCCGACGCTCGTATCGTCCTCAATATACAAGAACCACTTTTTCAAGTGCCTTCGCTGCAGCTGATAATGCAGCTCTTCGAAACATACCACCATCCTCGCATGGCTACAAACCTAAGGTCTGGGCGTATTATCGGTCCAGATCGAAAATTATAGAGTGGTATTGTCAAGAACTTGGCGTTGATTACGAAGCCGTACAAGTAGATATGGGTGCAGGACAGCACAAAGCTTCAGACTTCGTCAAAAATGTCAATCCTTTCGGTAAGTGTTTGATAGTGTGGTCGGGACCGGTCTTGGTTCCCTGACCTCCCTCGATGCTGTGCATGTTCAAGCCATGTGAATTGTACCCTTCGAAATGAAAACACGAACGGACACCGATTATTCGCACGTTGAAATGATACACTGCTGTTTTATAGGTAAGCTGCCCGTCATCACAATGGCTGATGGCACCCCTTTAATCGAGTCGGGCGCACAGCTCCTGTATTTGGCAGATGTTTTCGATCCCAACGTCTCCACAGCAGAAGAGAGAGGACTGGCCTCCCAGTGGACTCACTTTGCAAATGCTAGCCTAGGACCATCGATTTTTATGAAAGAGCAACGCGAGGCGGGTGTGATGGACAAGCTTTTCGCTGTCCTGAACGAGCTGCTCGCCGAATCCTCCTACCTCCAAGGGGAGCGATTCGGAGTTGGCGACGTTGCCGTGGGCTCTTACTTGTCTTACATCCCTGTCTTTTTCCCAGACCAAATTTCACTTGACGCATACCCATTTCTGCGAGCGTACATCAATCGAATTACTTCGCGTCCCGCTTTTAAACGAACGGTCGGCGCCCCTCCTCCCTCTACGGCGTGATACATGAATTTAAGCCTCCTGCATAAAAGATAAATTAAAGTAGCGCCTTGAATATGAAAATGTTTGGTCACATTTGTCTTTTTTTCCCGAATGTCGCCTTAGTCGAAAGTCAGTGGCATAACGGGTAACTTGAAGTTCGAGATGAACTTCTTCAACTTGATCCGAACAGTTTTAACTAAATACGAGTACCTCGCATACACCAGACACCACTTATCTTTTCGAAGCAATTACTTATATACATACATTTAAAACCAATTGTGGGAAATTCAAAAGATTGTAAAAGGAAGGAAGACTAATCGCGACCGTCTCGTGACATAGAGTGAGCAGTCGCTCTGAGCTGGGCTATCTCGGAGTGATAAGAATTCAGGCCGCTATCCTCGTTGTTGGGCGACTCGATGTCCTCCACAATCTACGGATAATGCGCATTGAATGATTGGGGAAAACATCAGGACGTCTAATTAATGACATTCGAGAAGGATGAGAGGAGAAATTGCAGTGGAAATAACGAGATTGTTGCGGGCAGCAGGCGGTTCCCGATACCTTTGTAGGGCTTTGAGACAAGTTGGCGTCATCAATGATACCTTTGCGGTGTCCCGAGCATCGCGGTCGGAATGACATGTGTGCGACTATAACTGTGAGAGGAAAAGAGATGGTGGGCGAGACTGCTTTGTCACTTTTCAGTGTGCTCGTTCATCGAGGTAAGAATAGGACTCAGTCGTTGGGCTCTTAAGTATAAGTATGCTCTAATTTAAGCAGCTGAGCCGCTAGCTTGAAATGGATGGGCTGACTGGTGTGTCAGGCAAGCGAAGCGTTAACAGGGTGGCCCCCCAAATACGTACGAGAAACGCCCAGTGAGAAACTCCATATGAGCTTGACCATGGCTCCCGTGATCAGGAGGAGAAAGAAAGTGACTATAGGATGGACGAGAAACAGATGGATAAGGGGTCATGGCCAGAAAAGTGAGGAGAGTAGACGGATGTGGCCACTCTCACAGACAACTTACAGCTAGCAGCAATCATCGTTTTCTCCTTTGGCGTGAGGAGCCGTCCAAAGATCTCCAAAGGCTGTGGCCATCCAAGCAACAAGGCAAAAACACCGGCGCAGACAAAAAGGACACCCATTGTGAAAGGCGATATGATGACTGACCAACTCATGATACCTGCCAGCAATAGAATGTAATTTGCCTTGTACAACATGAAGTTCGTCTGGAGGCGCTCCTCTAATTCTTGTTTGTTCTTGGGTTTCTTGAGGATGCCTGCAAACTCGTTCCAAGGCCGTGGGCTTTTGAGGCCCCATTTGTTAAGCTTTTCAGTGAAGTCTTGCATTTCAGACATGAGCATGTCGGTCTTGAACTGTTTCAAACAAGATTATGGTGGTATGTCGCATACCAATAAGCATCATTGCTTTAGGTGCACAGGATAAGCGCACAGAAGCGGAAAATGGACGTCCAGAGGTCAGCTCTGACACTGATTTACGCAAAAGACACATTGATGGCCCTGAACATCCATATCTCAAGGTACCCACGTACACACATCCAATGAACTTACATCTCCAATGACATCACGCATGGTCATAGATACTGAAAAATGCACGATGACGTTCCCCAAACTCGCAAGCTGATATTCCTGTTTTGTATGTGCTTGATGGTTTGTTATTGAGTTGCGCGCCAAGAGAATCGCAAGCCTGGTTTCACGCGGGGGCGGGACGGCCGAGGAACGCTTCGTAACGGTTTTGTAACGGCTGGGCCAAGCCGGGCGCCAGGAGGTTGGAGGCGATGAACGTTCTTTCTTCTCTTTATCACGGTCACGGTCTCCGTTCGGCCTGGAAATATGGGAACATGGCATTATCAGCTAGTAGCTGGACATAGAATGCGCGATTGTAGACCGGAAGTGTTTACGTCGTGAAGTATCAAAGTCTCAAACGATCGAAGACAAATTTTACTTCATACTTGCACCACTCACAGACGCTTCTATGGAGAAAGAGTTGGCACTCTATCTTGCTGAGCAGCATGGCCAGCAAGAAAGTCTACCGCTAGATTTAAGTTCATTCTATCGAAAATTACGTCGCTGCTCCGACCGGGATAAGTTCAGAAACCTAAATACGCTTGCCTCAGCTGATGACCTTGCTCCTGCAGTATTGAAATTTCGCGAGCATAAACTTATTGACACTGATATATTACATTTTGGGTCAAAAAGCTTATTAATGCTGACACGGACTAATGTGATAGCTTTACAACGCTTTATCGCGCAAGTTTCATGGGATCCGAATAAAGATGTGACAGAACAAACATGTGAACACCCGCGACGTGCCGTTACAAAGTCCGACGATGCAGAAATGCAAAAGCTGGCATCAGCTTCCGAAGGCAAATCCCCGGAACCACGCTACACGCAACAACAAGATATAGCAGCTTTATTGGGAAAGCCTACTGCGCTTGAGGCTTCAGCCGTGGCGTACTTCACAAAGGATGCCCATTCGATCCGGGAATTTTGTCCTCACGGAACACGCATGGAGTGCGATCGCCGAGCAAGAATGATGTCGGAACCATCTTGTATTGGCCTAGCTACACCATTGCCGTCTAGGACGGCAACGAATCAAAGGTGCATGAAGCTCCATTTCAAGCCAGTCATCGAGAGTCATACTGACGTGAGTTTGGGTGATTGTGCGTACCTCTCAACCTGCCGACGAACTCGTACATGCAAGTACATACACTACGAGATTGAGGAGACTACGAGCGACAAAGATAATCATGTACATCGCGAGTCAGAAAGCGCAAGGCGTGGAGTGACTCCGACGCCGGCCCTCCCCAGAACGCCCCGTGCACCTGCGCAGTGGGTGAACGTAGATGTGCGAAATTTCGACCTTTCTGTACTTGGCCAATTTTCTGTCATCATGGCGGACCCACCATGGGAGGTAAGAGGCATGATATGTTTGAGATTTGGCGCCACAGTATCTTAACGGAAGGTCAGACTCTGGCCTCCGCCTTTCACTTCTATTCTTCTATACTTTACACATCTCCAGATCCACATGGACCTTCCCTATGGCACCATGTCGGACGATGAGGTGTGTAAGCTCGACTTTCCCAAAGTGCAGGAAGAAGAGGGTGGCTTGCTTTTTTTGTGGGTGACAGGACGCGCGATGGAGCGTGCGCGGGAAATCTTTCAGTACTGGGGATACAAGCAGCTGGAGGAAATCATATGGATCAAGACCAATCAGCTGCAAAAAGTCATTCGCACCGGCCGAACAGGCCACTGGCTAAATCACTCGAAGGAACATTGCTTGGTAGGTGTCAAAGGGGACTTCGTCACGGCAGGACTAGAAGGAGGCGGCGGACGTACTCGTGTGAACCATTATGTTGACTGCGACGTGATCGTTGCTGAGGCCCGTGAAACAAGTCGCAAACCCGATGAAATCTACGATATTATCGAACGGCTATGCCCTGATGGTCGTAAAATAGAGGTTTTTGGTCGCAAACATAATATACGTGAAGGCTGGATTACGGTGGGAAACCAGTTGCCTCCCACTCATCTGGTCGGCGACACCCTCGTTCGATATCGTGAATGGGAAGCAACCGAGCGATAATGTGTCACTCAATAGATTCAAATTTATAATCGGGATTCAATGTGATTTGAAAGGGAAACAAAAGAAAGACCAGAGGAACATTTTGGAAGATGCACCGTCATGATACTTCTTTTGATGCGTCCTCAGCGCGCTTGATCCTTCGGCATGCGTCCCTCCGTACGTCAACCCTTCGACACTTGAATCTCTGATGATGGATATCAACTGCCAAAACATTACTGTGCATGGTTTACTCGTTGAAACCCGACAACTTGTACAGGGAGCAGGTCTTGGCCCGACGGGCCCTTGAAGAATACATGGGCCGGCGAAGACTCGCTGGGTCGGCGGGAGCGGAGAAGACGTCGAAGTCGAACGATAGGGCCCCTACCCCGACTCTCTCACGGCGTAACATGTCATTTGATCCTGACACATGACTTTTTAACAACCTTAGGTCATCTGACGTGGACGGTCAAGGCGAGTTTTTGGCCAACTGCTTCTCGTAACCTGCTCGCGCTCGTCACCCATTTAAAACTCCACAAAGATTAGTAAGCCGACTATTACGATTCATCATGACTTTCGACATCTCTAACCTGGGGCAGACCACTTGGGAAGATCTCGACATGAACAAGCTCCTTATTTTCTCTACTTTAGCCACTCTTGTGGAAAACAGCATCATGTGGCCAATGTGGGCCATGAAAACCCGGCAACAAGTTCAGACTGGGGCGGTCACGCACTCCTTGAGCGTGCGCCGCATGGGCGGTTTACGCTCACTTTACAAAGGTTTCCTATTCTACGCTATCGCGAGTCTTCCCGCCTACCTCACATACATAGGAACGTACACCTACACGAAGAGTGCGTTAAGCACGCCATCCGCTGACGGTCCTGTGGAAACCTCGAAGGGCAGTTTCCCGCTTACCATGGCACCCATGGCTGCCGGTATCATGGCTGATGCTGCCTGTTTAATTTTGTACATACCAGTGGAAATTGTGGCACAACGCTTACAACTGCCCACGCGCTATTCTGGAGTCCAACAGGTGCTTACGGACATGTGGCGCGAGGACGGTAAGAGCGACGTGAAAATCTGCCATCTCTCGAACTGCGTGTGCCGTAATTTCTCTCTCTATGGGATGGCTTGCTTATTTTGTAGTAGACTCCCAGAAAAGCGTGCAAATATCTCTCTTGATTGACATCATTCCTCTTCTCTCCAGGTTTGCGCACATTTTATCGGGGTTTCGGGGCGACACTGGTGACGTCCTGCATCGCCTCGGGCGTGTGGTGGCAAACTTATGAATCATTAAAGTCGTTCTTTACAATGGCGACAACCTTTCCCCCTCCGCCGCTTGAGATTGTATCGCCGTCCTCCGCGCCAACATCCTCAACATCATCATCCCTTTTCTCTGTTGAACTTGTGCTCGATCAAGTAGGCGAGCTTTTCGCCGCCATTCGGCAGTCGCTCCCACACATGATTGCTGGCTTATTTGCGGGTGGTCTGAGCGCTCTTGCCACGAACCCTCTAGACGTCGCCAAGACGCGGTTACAAACACAGCATACCAAACCCGGACCCTTGACTTTCATACGAAGTCTAAATACCATCATACAGCAGGAAGGGCTGTGGCAGTCCTTTCTCCGTGGTTTCGCACCGAAGCTTGTTTCAAGTGCTCCTCTTGGGATGCTGTCTTCTGTAATGTACGAAGGTATTTTGTTCATGAGCCGAAAAGACAATCCTATGCTGGGAGGGAATACTACTGGAAGAGAAAATGCAGGTGATAAAGAGATGTAAACTATTTATGGAAAGAAACGAAATATAAATCTTCCGAAGGCGGAGCTTGATGCAGAGAAGCTGTCTTCAGGAGTTTGCTTTGATTTACTTTGGTTGAGGGTCATTTTTGGGCAATCATCTTTTCCAACGCTGTCATAGACTTCCAGTAGTCATTTAATATACCATAAATGATTTTATTATCAAATTTTCTGCCAGGGAACAACTATGTTTTGTCAACAATAAAAGAGAAAAGCGGCATTTTTTTTTCTCAATCATCCATTCATTGCGCCATTTGAAGCATGAAGGATACATCTTGACGCCATAATAACCTCCTGAATGCTCTCTACTTCCGACACGCCCAAGCTGAATTTGTTGAAGACTATGCACGGGACGTCTTCCCCGTGGTGTGTGCTTCCCGCCCGATCTAAGACCACATCGTACTGACGCTCTATTTCATCCAGCTCCCGGGCAGATGTCGCAGGGGTAAATACCAGGCTGAAGGCCAAGGCCGTCCCTAGTTTGGCCGGCGAAGGGGTAATGTAACCCAGGCGTTCGTCAAATTCGAAGTCCAGTCCCAAGTTTGTAAGGGCCCGGCATGACAGAGCAAAGGCACGACAGCCGATGGCGGCGATTCCATCCTGCGATCCATTTTGTCGAGCAGTTGCTACAATTGTGACGTGATCTTCCACGTTCACGAAGATGCAAAGAGAGCGATCCTGATTGAGGAATACCCCACGTCCTTCGGGCCAACACGACAGGTCACCCGCACTTTCATCCAGGCGATAAGATTGCGGCAATTCGGCAATATCCATCTCCTCTTGCAATGCGGAATTCGTCTTCAAATCCTTAATTGTAGTGTATGTGCCCTGCTGGTCCCCTGTCAAGCAGTTTAAAGCTGCCACAACTTTCCTTTCCACTTCTCGTAATTGCGCAACGCTCATTTTTGGCGTGTAATTGTAACCGCACAAATTTCTAGATGCGACTAGCCGCGCCATTCGCACGTTATCCCCATTTTTCTCTGTAAGCACAGAAGGGCCTAAGGCCTCCCTCAGATGGTCCGCATTAAAATCCGACGGCTGCTTGTGCGTTTTATTGTAGCGCGGATGGCAAGCAGCTATAACTGGGTCGAAGAGCGGGGCAAATAAAGAATAGCAGGCATAATCTCCGGCAAAAAGCTCCAAGGTATCCCCAGAATAGCTGCTCTTGGCAATTGTATCATTAAGCACAACCCCGCCTGATGTGACGAGCTTTCTTAGGTGGGAAATTAGATCGTCGGGATAAAATTTACTGAGGAGCGCGGAAATGTCCTCATCCACCGATTGCCTTGTTTCCTTCCGCGTGACGCCTTTCTCTTCCCGAAGACAAAGCGCCGCCTGCTTGCTCGCATCAACCGACCGCCCAATGTCATCTTCCAGTCGTCCGCCATTATCACAGTCCGCCTCATCACTACCGCTGTACAAAATGTCTCCTTTTTCCTCAGGACCACCATTTCCGTAGATACCAGGTGGTGTCGAAGCGTGGCGCAAAAGCGACAAAGCTTCCCACGAACCTTCTTTGGGCAGCCGACTTACCATCGGACCCCCCATGGATGGGGGAGCGCGCGTCGAAAGGGCCTCGCCTACCACAGGGAGAGCTGTGATGCTACCGGGCGAGTAAGATGCGCACTTAAGAATATCTTTGTGGGCATTCAGCTGAAGGCCTTGTTCCTGTACAGACATTTTCAGGTCTGTCATCCCGAGGTACAAGACCTCGACACTCCGAGCGACCGCCTCCAAAGTGTGCGTAGTCTTGTCCATGTAGATTTGTAATTTCTCGGTGGAAACCGATCTTGAGGTAGTAGAATTTTCCCACTCACCCATCGCTTCTGCCTTTGGCCTACTGAGATCGAGCTTATCTTCGCCCCAAGTATTTATGCCACTCGGGGAAAGGGATAATGACGAGTACTTACCAATCGCTGAGCCATGTAGAAGTTGCTCTAGATTTGCGGTCAGCGTCAGGGCGGCCTCAGCAGCTGCCGCGGCTTCGGTAATACCTTTGTCAGGGGCACTACTCCTTCCGTCACCGCTGTAACGGCTCATGCTACCACAACCTACATTCTTCTTCTCGCATTCTCCACAAGTGCCATTTTCATCATTGCCATAAGCTTCTTCCTTTTGTAAAGACAACGTATCGCGAGCGGATTTTACAGCCTCTTCTGCCCGAGCCATGCTTGAAAAAATATTGTCGAGAGTTGGTCGATGAAAAGCTAAACGAGCTGTGAGTTTCTCAAGCTCGCTTTCCAATTTAGAGCGCTTAATTTTTTCAATTTCCACACGGATCCGCTCTTGTTCTGCGTCACGCATCACGCGCAATCGCGCCTCTTCCGCTTGCTGCCGCGCGTAGCGTTCTTCTTCTTCGTGTTGGATTCTTGCTCGGCGAATTTCGCGTTCTGCCGCTTGTAGACGCTCATTTACAATCCGAAGTTCGGCGTGTTGGGTGGCTAGAGGGACCGACGGCATAGGGTTATCATTTACGCACAGGGCTGCGTGCTCGAGAGCCTTGCCCACATCTACCATGCAGTCGGTGACTGCAATTGCTTGATTTAAGTACTTTGTTTCTTGCACAAGTTGACGCAAGGCTTTCTGACGTAGAGTTTGACGTTCTAATTCAACCTTGACCGCGTCGTGCTGGCGATCAAGCCTTCTTTTCCGTTCTGTTTCCCAAATGACAACATCTTCAGCTTCTTGCACTCTGGCTGCCGCCACATCAAAAGCGGGTCCTACCACTAATATCTGTCCCGCATCAATGAGCTGAGACACGGCATTTAGAGCGCTCTCGGCAGCTTGCAATGCGTTCGCTACGGGAGAAATCGTCCTATCTAAGCCCTGCGTCCCTATGATGGCGTAGAGTCGGGCGATCCGGTCTTGTTCTTTCTCCAGGCTGCGCAATACAACCACGCGTTGATGCTCATTTCTGACACAAAAATCTTTTTGTCGCTCCAATATCTCGTTGGCTCGATCAATTTTTGAAGCAGCACGCTCTAATACTGCTGCCATGGAAGCTGAATCTGCAACCGTCTTGCTGGCAAGTTGCGATCCGTCTTCAGTAATTCCATCATGAGTTGCTGTCGATTTTTTCACCGTGGAGAGGCACCTTTGAGCATACATGAGTGCATCTCGTGCGTCGGCGATGCTTCTGACCATGGATTGCGCACTAGAGCACGCCACAGTATCTGGTATTGCTGCATCTACTAATAAGGAAGCACTAGTGCCCGACTGGACGCAATTAGTCTGAGTACCCAACCACTCGAAAAGTTCACCGTCCGAATAAGCTTCAAGCTGTACTCGAAAGAAGCTAAATTTGGTGCAAAGGGTTGTAACTTCATCTTGAATACCGGCAAATTTGCGTTCCAACGAGCGATAGTGCTGCAAAGCGTCCGCCCGCTGCTTGTTGATAGCCTTTTTCAGGTCTACTTCTTTCGCAAGCATCTTTTCCGCTTCGTGCAACTTGTCCAGCGCCCAATCAACTCGAGGCAACGGAACTTGGGGCGACCTTAACGATTCTTGAGCAAAATGCTGGACCTTCCAGACGGCTGACTTAGCTTCTTGAACGACCATTTTGACATGAAGTGGAACGACAGATTGCAATACATCCTCTTTGCCATCACTCCTTTCCTCCTTTGTGTCGTTATAATACGTATGAGTCCTGCCGAGTGACTCGTCCCCAGCCGCCGTCGTATCAGTAGCTTCAGCGGCTGAGACTTCAGGAAATTGGCTTTGCGACGATGTTTGGAAGTTGGATCGAAGAGTCTTTTCTAGGCGAGCGAGTCGGTCAACAAGGGTTGGTAAAGCCTTCAACGCCTTCTCTACGTTCAACTCTCGAATACGAAGGCGCTGGGATTCACGTGATACGAGCTCTTCCATGTCTGTCACACGCTGCGTTAGTGTATGGAGGCGCATTGGCCGATCCTCGATTCCTTCCTGCCCCGCTAAATCTGATTCTACGGCCAGCAGCATTGATTGTACCTCCTGTAATTGCATCACCCCACTATTCACAGCAGCATCCCGAGCACATTCCCATCGATCTTGAAGAGCCCTCTGACCGATTAGCCATTGCTCACGCTCTTGTTTATCTCGGGCTTGAAGCTCAATATCTTGATTTAACAATTCTTTGACATTGACTACCTCTGCTATCGCTGCATCCACATCCTTGGCCAGTAGAGTCATATTATCCATCCAAACAGATAATGGTTGCTCAAGTTTGGAAAATATCGAGGCTATGCTAAGCTTTGCCCGACTTAGAGGGAGCTCTACTTTTGAGCTCTCATTAATCAGGCCATACGTTTCGGCCCTCTCAGCGCACACTTGCAACGCGTCTTGAAGAGAGGCTAGCTTCTTGCTTTCACAAATTTTGAAAGCAGAGGCACGATCTACGCGCCTTCGAAGTAGCTGCGCCTCAAGTTCTAGGGAATCCACGCGTTTGACAGCCTCATGAATGGCTTCGGTCATCGACTGCAAGGTATACATGCCATCATTATCTGAAGGATCATAAAGTCGTGCGGAATCTATTTCGCTTTCCTTAATGACCTTTCCACCGTTTTTGTCGGAAGTTACAACAACGCCACGACGAAGGAGCCGAGCTGCTCGGTTAATCGCCATAGCAGCATCATCTGAAGGAACTTGACATAGTTTTTGAACGGTGGAACCGGCCGCCGCAATCATGGCCACGTTTTCTTGGAAGCGGCACAAATTTGAATGAAATTTTTCGTGTAGATTAAGCTTTTCCTTCGTAAAGGCGTCTTCCCTAACTTGATAGGCTTTCAAAGAAGCTTCAGCATTCGTAACTTTCTCGATGAAAGATGCGACGGTTTGGCACACTTTAATGAGCGCAGATTCCTCAACGTCCTGCTCGTCAAAGTCGTCTACGTTGGCATTCAGTGCTGACGCTGTATTATGGGCCTTAGCCACCAGCTTCGCTGTCATATCATACGACGCCTGACAAGCTTCAAGTATCTCTTGAGCCGCGCGCAGATAAACTAGCATTCCGCCATTTGCTACCAGATTCTCCAGGCAAACCAATTTGGCTTGCCCCGATTCCAGGCTAAGTCGACATTTTTGCCATTCCTTCTGACGCTCTGCGTATCTTTTTTGTGCATGCTCTATCAAGCCCTCAGCTTTCTCAACACGAGAGATTGCCTCATTGACAGACCGCCGCTCTTGCTGTCGTTTTCCGTGATAGCCTTCATCTTCGAACCATGTCACCGTGATCGGTACATGTATCTCTTCTTCAACCTGCTGCAAGCCCATTTTGACTTCTGATACAAGTTTCCGAAGGCTCGGTTTGCCAAGAAACGAGCTATCTGACAGCATGGATGACCGAACGGTGAATGAAGGGGAAGCGGCGTTACCAGGTTGACATTTTTCCTCCACGAGCGATACATTCTCTAGAAAGGAGTCGAAGCGGCCTTTCGTTGATAATAATCTCCCAAGGTCCTCTTGCCTGGCTTTACACATTGCTTCCACGCGCTGGCTCTGCGTCTTGACGTGCGATTCAAATTCACATATAGATTCGCTAGCGGCAGACAAAGCAGAGGAAAGCGATGGACAGGCTCCCAGACGGACGGCATTTTCCAAGTTTCGCAATGCATCACGACACAGAGACATTGCTGACTCACATAAGGTAGTGAGCACATTAGTTGCACCGACAGTGCCTTGATTGTCACTGCTACTATCTGCTACTGCCGGTCCACCTATACAATATCTTGAGAGCAGCGTTTTGAATCGTTTCTGCATAGCTACAAGCTCGCCATGAGCCGTAGCTACTTCTCTTGCCTGCGATTCATGCCGCTGCTTGACATCTGCATAACGACGTTCTGATGCTGCACACTGAAGAATGGCCGTCTCAACCTTATCTTTTAGGGAAGCGACCGCTGGGCTCGCTTGCAAATCCGCCAAGACCTCTTCCGAGAAGCTTAAACTGGTACACAAGCCCTCGCACAACTGCTGCTCTGCGGCCATAGTACAATGCATCTCAACGCTTCTCAGCAAGTTCAGGACCTTCTCGTGTGCAACTTTGACGCGCGCAAGCTCTATCTCTCGCACTTTGTCATGTCTCTGCTTGACTAAAATCTCGGCTTTCAGAATCGCATTCATTTTCTCAAGCTTTCCGTGCAGGGATTGGCAAGCATGAACGTATGCGTGTGAATCATCGCTAGTCAATAGAGACGCTGCTTGCTCTATCGCACTCTCGAAATCAGTGGAGGCATCAGTGACAGCATGCGCAGAAGCGGGTACATTTCCTCCTTTTATACCCGAGCTTTCTATTTCGGACAGAAATTCCTTGAATTTGCAGTGAGCTTCTTCCCATAATTGTCGACCTTGTCGCCGCCTCTCCTCCGATGATTTGAGCAGCCTTTCATTTTGCACGATAGAAGAGAGCTCAGAAACAAGGAAGGCTGCGTGCTCTACTGCCGGTTGCAAAGCCGTGGGATCCTGCGAGGTTTCTAAAACACAATCGACCTCCGCTATGTTGTCGCGGACAGTCGCGACATTTTGCTGTATTGCTCTGCTTTCCACACCCATGCCATCTCCCACGATGCCACTGCTCTCTGCCGCCTCTAATGTATGCCGAAAATCTTTTTTTATTTGCACAAAAATTTCTTTAGTTTTTTCCCTTGCTTCGTAGAGGCGTTGCTGTTGTGATTGGAGATGAACTAGTGCTATCTCTGCATCTTTCACCATCGTCAGCACGCCTTCTACCGCAAGAACTCTTCGACGCGCAACCTCTTCAGGATCTTCCTCGTCCAAACACTTGTAAATCTTCCCTGTACGGTCCAAGCTTGTGCCGTCAATCATTCTTTCATCAGCGTTTTCTGTAGCTTGAAGATGAAGGCGATGCAAAGCTGCAGGCTCGTACCCTTTCTCTGAGTCCTGATTCTTGCCATGGCTACGAATGGCATTTCGATTCGCTACTTGCAGTAGTTGCGTTGACTGTTCTCGTAGAGCCTTCGCCGCCTTATCCATCCTGTGTATCACTTGATATCGCGCCTCACCCTGCAATTCAATATCATCTAGATCCCTCTGCGCATGACTTAATCGCGCACGGCCTGTATCCAGCATTCCCAACAGCTCTGCCCGCTGCTCTGAGTCCCTTTTCTTGATGGCTATAACCCGCTCAACAAGCTCCTCTGCCACTCGTGCCTTCTTACAGGCTCGCTCCACAGCAGGCCGGAACACTTCAGGCTGAAGCGAATTGAGCCGCCGCGCGTACATAACTGCGGTCGCTGTTTCATCTAGAGCCCGTCGCACTGTTTCCGTCCCATGCATCCCTCCCACGTCGACTTGAGATTCCAGTTCATGCAAAAGTTGGGCTGCACGATTCAATTTGTGCAGTAGTACCGACTCAGAAATCCGAACCCACCATCGCTGAAGACGAATAATTTTCGGGAGGATAATTTTGTGTTTAACATTTTGAAGAACCAGCAAAGTGTCGGCATGTAAAAAAAGTTTCGTCAAGCCCAAGCGATACTGACGTGCCGTTACAGCCTTAAGTACGGCTGGATGAGTCATCATCATGGCCGTCAACGAGCGGGCTGCGTTCAACTCGCCGCATTTGCTTTGTCCGTTGGCTTCATCATGGTCATCGACTTCATATATGCCTGGAGGATGATCGTGAGTGCTCGGGGTGGTTGAATCCATCTTAAGAGACGGCATCCTAGGCTTGACAGCAGCCCTTATTTGAGTCTCATTACGATGCAGACGTAAAAGCTTGTCGTACGTAATCGCCTCATTTTCCTTTTCGGAGGAAGGAAAGCCGACTGTAAAAACGCGGAAGTCCCGTATAAAATCACAGTAGGGCACCCGAGTGGGGAACCCCGCTCGTCGCACTTCTAGTGCTGCCATCACTCCAGAGCAGACGAGTTGGTTCAATACGCTTGGCTTGTCCAGCACCTGGGGCGCCAAGAGCTGGTTTGATTTGATACAGCGCACAAATCGTACATCGCAGCCCTCCAGAGTCTGAAGCAGTCCATTCAATTGTGCATTGAACCGCTGTGAGACTGTGCCATTGCTGGCGCGCAAATTCGTATGGCCGCCAGTACCATCATCATCTCCCCCGCTTTCACCAGTACTTGCCCGAATTTTTGCTAAGAACTGTGGGGATTCTGAAGACGAAGCAGAAAAAGAAGGCAAATCATTGTTTGTTTTGAAGAGGGAGGTAACAAGCGGGACATATGAGCTTGTGGCCAAGAGTGCGTTGACGTGGTCGAATAACGCGTCGCGATTTTTGTCTATGAAATCGTTGGAGCTATAGATGATGCCGCCCGCATAATGCAGTACAGCGAAATCTGTATCGGCCGTGAAGTGGCTGCCAGTGCTGGTCTTACTTCCAACCTGTTTTCGCCACGCTGTTGAAGGACCGCAAACGCCGTAATGTGCATGTCCTCTGAATGATTTGTTATAGGTGCTCACCAAGGCCCCATCGCTAGCAGCCGCACCTCTAGTGCATTCCGAATCCAATATGGGCAACAGGCCTGAACATAGATGTGGGAAAACGGGTCGACAAAAGTTGGCTGAGCTAGAGGTAAGAATGGTGTCACTCGAATCGAACAGGATGCATATCAAGTAAAGAGAAAATGAGGCGCGACAAATATTGCTGAGATAATTTTTCCTACGCACCCAAAGGTTTCTTCTCAATGAGATCGACGCATGGCTGATTATCAGGAAAATCGGAGCGATCCCAATCGATTTCCTCGCGCGCGTATTCCTCTTCTTCACGCTTGAAGGTGGCTAAATTAAACAAAAGTTGGAGACGCTCGTTACTGTGATTAATAAGCAATTGCTCCAACGAATTGACGGCCATATTCTCAAAACCAAAAATGTCGAGAATTCCGATGAAGCATGGGGCGGACACAGAGCCTGATGAAAGCACATTGCTCCTGTGAGACGATGTAATGCTTGTGGCGGTGCTCGTAGACCCGCCATCTTCAGCAAAGGTTGCATTTAGTCGATCCACAAGACGATCAAAGAGCCGACTGTACAAAGCTTTTGCAAGGGCATCGCGCGAATCACGTGATTGCGCCACGGTCTGCGGGGAGCGGACAGTCTTCCCTCCAGGTAGCTGCCGCACGCGCGTCGTTAAAGCTTCAGCAAGTCTTTCTGGAGCGAGTCCTAAGAACTCAGCTGCCACATCCAGAGCGGATTCCCCATTGTCCACTTCTCCATCGTTATTTCCAGCTCCAAATTCCCTCCGAACGCTTGATTCTTCGCCATCGGGACTGCTTTCAAAATCCACATTGCCAAGGTGCAGGACACCCGCCACCATTTGGAAGAGAGCAACCTGCTCCTCGTACGTGATTCCCACAGCATCCATGGCCGCCCTGACAAACACGTGCCCGTAAATACGTCAGTCAGAACATTAAATAAAGACATACAAGGGCGGTATTTGTGCCGTGCGCTCAACTGAGCACAATGTCATGCAAAATTACAGATTTGAGGGTCATGTCTAAATCCGTACCTGGTCATGGCGAAATCGTCAGCATCCTCTATACCCTCCACTTGCGTACAGCCGCTTTGCGCAAGATAGTAGAACTTATTCGCCTTGTCCTTATCACTTTCCGCTGGAAGGTGCAGCTGCTTTCGCAAAGTCTCTGAGGCACCAGCTAAAAGTTGGTAGAATATGTGATAATTTCTCTCTCCGCCCTGTTGACGACAGACACGTGATTTTTCCAACAAGAAATTGCTTATTTGCCCTCCACAAATGGGAAAACCCCCCTGCCTGTTCCCAGGCTGTGCTAACAGATCATGGCGGACCGGGGATCCGCGCACATTGCTTGTGCGCTTGAAATTGAGCAGTGTAAACTTCCCAAATCGGCTGAAGGAAATATGAGCATTATTTACAGGAATCGGGTTAATGAGAATGGCCGAGAAAAAAAAGTCGTACGTCACAAATGTCCAAACAAGGGAAAGACTTGATGTGGCGCGCGCATTCGAATATCGAGCCTGAATACCGTGACGCCTTGTGATGCTGAGAAATCCCGCAATCCTCTCTTGGTCAACAACGTACCTTGAATTATTATTGCGGAGGGTTTTTGCGTTTCCAAAGGCTTCAATCAATGGATTCGATTGTACCAGACGTTCGCCTATGGTCAGAGGCTCCTTGGCCGGCGACGGGGAGACACCTTCTTGCATGGCGGCTGTTCCTCCCGCCTCGAGCCCCTGATGGCCTCTTGCCTTCTCCTTTTCTGAGTCGTCTCGCGCCACAATGCTGATATACTGTAACATAAGCTTAGTTGTCTCTGTCTTGCCGGCCCCCGATTCCCCGCATATAACGACCGATTGGTTTACGTGTGTACGCTGAAGCTGTTGGTACGCATCCTCGGCCTCCTGATAGCAATGCGGGGGCAGTGTCCCATAGGGTTTGCCGCTGTACTGTCGCACGACTTCGGGACCGTATATGGGTAGCCACTTGAAGGGGTTCATGGCAATGAGGATGGGACCCGTGCGGGTGTAGATCTGGTCCGTGCGGAAGCGATGCGCGATGTTGGCCAGGATGGTCGCCTCGTTCAGAGGGTGCAAGTCATCCATATTTTCCATATTGTGGCAGTGCAGCTCTGGCGGGACTGAAGTTTTCGTTGTAGGTGAAGCAGCGCTGACATTGCTCGCGCGAGGCAACAAGCGCCGCATTCCTTCCGCGTTCTTCATGCGTCCTCCGCCATTTCTTCCAGTACCGTGCAAAACCGGTGGCGGCCCACCCCGTGACAGAGCGCCCGCATCTACGGTAAAACGCTTTATACAGATACATTGTAAAATTAAAAGGAGTCTGATAGACAAATATTCTGACGGGCGCGTGGGGCCCTGCACAACATCCCTTCCTTTAATCAAGATGAGATGCCAATGCGGTATTTCATATGTTGACTCTCCTGTTGCATTTCTCATGGCACATTTGCATATACATCGAATCCTCTCATCTTACTCCTCCGAACTTCAAGTATGGTCTAGTCCGCGTGGGAACATTGAAATCCATCTTCATGTCATCACTTGGACGTACCTTGCCCCCTTTGTCTTCGACGATAATCTTGTCACCCTGCACCGACACAAGAATAGCTTCAATATAGCCCTCGTCATTATCAGAAAGCCACAATGGATCGCCCTTATTGCTATGAGACCAGTCAAATTGATGATTCATGTGGAATCTGCGCATTGTAGGTGTTGTAGAGGAAGAAAATTGAACACTACGGCTTAACCGGTACGATGAGTTAATGGCATTGATTGGCTCTCCGAACGTGAATGCGAGACCCTTTGGTTGCTTGAAAGGCTCCTAAAAAGAGCTCAACCCTATCGATGCCTCAAAAGCAAAGACGGGCAGAGGCCTGAGATGCCTGCGAGCTGCGGCAGAAAGGGCCCAGCGGGAAGGAGGGGAAAGTTTGAACTTGAGGCCTCGCCAAGGCGGCCTTGGCGACGGCCTCGTCTGGGAATCAGTTTTCACGCTCGCGACCGACACATCCACAGCACTAGGAATGCCTTGGCCAT